CCAATGTTGCTCAGCTCATAAGAGTCAGAGTCAGGATCTGAACACATGCTGTCTCACTTCGGAGCTGTAAACCACAGTCTTGCACTCCATGGTGCACAGTAAACCCTGAAGAGTTTTGAAAACATGCTCAGATTGCACTCCCAAAACGTTGGTTTAATTGGTGTGGGTGGGAGGAGGGCCAGGCAGACTATGTTTTTAAAACTTCCAAGGTGATTCTAATGGAAAGCTCAGTTTGAGAACCCTGCTCCAAGGGAGAAGGATGGGTATCTCCTCCAGTGCAATTTACTGCTTCTGGGAACCTGCTGGAGGGTTCCAATTCGATGGCACAAAACAATACCATTGAAACCCAAAAACCATGCTAATGATTTGATTCTGACTCACAGCAACCCTACTATAGGACAGGGTTGATTTCTGAAACCCAATTTCCAAGGCAGTAGTCTTTACAGAGGCAGGCTGCCACTTTGCTGTCCTATAAAGAAACTGGTGGTTTTGAACTGTTGACCTTTCAGTTACCAGCTGCATGCTTGACCACTGTACCTCCATCCAGCTCTCTAGTGTACACACCCTAAAACCCACAATTAATTCCAAATTATAGCATCTCTCCATTGGGTTTCTGAGGCTGTAAATCTTCACAGGAGACTGCCCATCTCTCTCCTGCAGAGCAACTGGTGGATTCAAACGGCTTACTTTTCAGATTCCAGAAGTATAAATCTACAGACTTAACCTTGAAATAAATTTCAAATCTCACCATTCAACAAACCTCAGTGGCACTTGCACAGTTTTGTTAATGGAAAATCACAAATTCCTACTTTTTACGAGACCAAAATAAAAATTTAAATATAGACTCTACAGTGAGCTTCGGTGGCCTGGTGGTAAGAAGCTGCGCTGCGATCCCAAAGGCATGGAGTTAGAATCCATCAACCAGCTGTTCCGTGGGAGAAGGACGGGCAATCTCCTCCTCTGTGATTTACTGCCTCTGAAAATCCATTGGAGAGTCAGCTTATGAGTCGGTTCTGACTGGATAGTACACAACAACAATCACAACAACCACCCTTAGAAATCAATGTGAGAACATAAGTGAAAAAGGAGATATAAAAAGCAATTGCTGATTTGTTTTGTTCATCTGTAGCATTTGTAATCTTGAGGCTATTAGCGCATAAACTTGCACTAAGATTCTAGCAATGTAGTCAGGAGGAACCAGTGGTTGGCAAAGACATCACGCCAGGAAAGGTGGAAGGTCAGCAAAAGACAGAAAAACCATCAACAAGATGAGGATGATAGTGATTGTAACAATGGGCCTGAGCATATCAGCTATTAGGAGGACGGTGCAGGATACGATAAGGTTGTAGGGTCACAATGAGTACTTAACAACAATTTAAGCAAAGAAGGGAGTAATCAGTTCACAGGCCTTGAGGGACGATGATGCTGAAAGCTCATCACAGAAGCCAAAGTGAAGCTGGACAGGAGAGGACTTGGGAGAGGACACTGTGGTAGAAGGATCTGTGCCTATGAGCAAAAAGACAGGGAAGGGGATTGGGTGCCAGAGGAGCTGAAAAATGCCCAGGGCTCAGATTCTTGGTGGGTGTGAGAATGAGACTGGAGGGATAAGAGCTTTTGGAGGCCTGTGAAAAACCAAGTGACGACTGAGTTTTACCCTGCACAACAGGGAGTCACTGAAGGCTTATACACATGAGCACGATGTGATCTGATTTGTGTGAGTAAAGACGTCGTCAAATGTTAACTAACAGAAGCCTTAAAAACAACGAAATATCTCAGTCACAAAAGGACAAACATTGCATAGTGCCACTGTTGTAGAATGGGACTGACATCAGCGTTGGACAAAACTGAGAAAAATTGGATAAATTATGTATACTGCACTGAAACAAATGAGGGAGAGAAGAGGTTAAAAGCAACATCTGATAGCGTATTATGATTATCACAAGAGTCCGGAATGAAGGTTGTCTTGTGGAGTGTACTCAGGGTGTGTGTGTGTGTGCGCGCACGAGGGGATTATATACCAATGAAGGAATTTTCAAAGAATAGAGCGAAATTGTGGGGGGGAGGGGTGGGCAGGGAGAAAAGTGCAACAATGAATGAATGGAAATCCAAAATCTCTGTAAATGTTCATTAAAATTAATTAAAATAAAAAAAAAACAAAACAAAGAACATCTCACACCCTGCCCTGCGCTCCTCCTCTCCCTCTGAGTTGATTTTGATCCACCATCAGTTTTCAAGGCTGTCTATCTTTATAAAGGTACATGGTTTGAATTCGCCAATTGTTCCATGTGAGAAAGATGGGCAGTCTGTGATTTACAGCCTCTGAGAACTTGGAGGGTCAGTTATGGGTTAGTTCCAACTTGATGTAATACAACAACAGGATCTTTATGGGGGAGACTGCCCATTTTTCCTCCCACAGATCAGCTGTGGAAGAATGCCCAACATATTACACAGCATACTGCCAGGGCTTAGTGGTGTAATTACCTGGTAAGAGTGTGGAGAAAGATTGCCTGGTCCAGTGGTCAAAATTTGAGGGCTGGAATCTACTTTGTTACCTAATTTCTGCCCCACTCCCCAACACACACACTCTATAAGGAACTCTAAAGAGCATAGTGCATTACATGTTGGATTTGCTAACATAAAAGTTTGGAAGATTGAATCTACCAGCTGCTCCAATGGTGAAAAATAAACAATCTCCTCCATGTAAGATTTAGAACCTCAGAAACCCAATGAAGGGTCTCCATAAGTCAGAACTGACACATGGGCACTGGGGTTCTTGTTCTGGCTCCTACCACAAATGGACAGCTCCACCCCAGGTGAGAAAAGGAACAGAAGAGAGACCTAGGGTCAGCTCAAGTGAGTATTGCATCTTATTTTACTGTCCGGGTTGCAGAACAGTTGATTGTTTTGGTAGCCTTT